TTAATAATTTAAGAAAGCAAAAGATAAAGATTATACTTGCATCTATTCCATGACAGGGATTTGAAAAAATGAAGCTTGTCTAATTTTTACCAAGGAATAGAGAATCAATAATGCTTGTCTACTGTTAGTAGGGGTTCAGAATAGAACAGTCCTATTGGAAAGCAATTTGGCAGAGCCTCATACAATTTAAAATGTGCTTGACCTTTGCCCTATGAATTCTATTTATATGACTCGATCTTGCAGAAATAAGCTCCAAGGTTTGTACAGGATGTTCACATCAGCAATATTTGTAATAACCACAAACTGGAAAAATCTAAAATTCTACCAATAAATTAACCATTAAATACAAAGTGTTTTAAATCTGGAACATGCAATGTTATATAGGTATTGAAACAAAATGAGGGAATTGTAAATCAGGCAGGGGGCGTGAGCCCATGGCCCCAGCTACCAGAGAGGCTGAGGGAGGAGGATCACTTGAGCCCAGGAGTTGAGACTAGCCTAAGACACACAGCGAGAGCCCACTTCAAAACAAAATTTAAAAAAGAATGCGGGGCAAGAACCCTTAATGCACTGGCATTGAAGAATGTCTGCAGCATCCTATGCATCGTGGGACCAAAACGTGTAGAATTTCTTTACATTTTTACAAAGAACTATGTACTCATCTCCCTGTGGGGTATGAGATAGGAAAATGGAATGAGGGAAAATTAACCCTTCCACTCTTCATTTTATAAATTTCAAGATTTTTTTTTTTTATGATACAAGACATGTCATCTTTAAAACTGGAATAGAGCAAAAAATAATTTGATGTAAGTGCATTTAAATTTTCTTTTTCTGGACTGAAGTTATAGACCAGTGGTAGTGATACAGGGAGAAAAACTGGTCTTTAGTGGGCTGCACGAGTTTGTGTTCTCTAAAACCGAAGAATGAATTTTAGGAACAAATGGAGGTTATGAGCAGAATATATTTATTGAGAGAAAGAAAGCTCCTGTCCCGAGAGAGGGACAGGAGGAGGGGCCCGAGCAGGTCGTCCCCCACCCCCCAAAGTTGTCTCTTGTAGGGACTTTTATAGAGGAAAACCATGTGGTGAGGCGGGTCTAAGGTGGTGGAGAAGACATGGGAACTTGCTTAGTTGGGCATGAGGTAGGACAAAACTATGGTCAACCAATGAGATTACAAGCACCACTGCTCAGGTAAAATTGATTAAATCCAGTATCAAATGGGAAAGTGAGTCACATAGCAAGCAAGCATGAATACAGAACAGGGTCTCTTCCTGTTGGGGGTTGGGCTAGTGACTCATTTGGGTTCTTTCAAGTTGATTGATACTATTTAGGGTATCAATTCCTAATGTCCATCCCTAGGGAAGTATGTAGCTGTGCTTCCTCTTTTTGTCTTGGTCTTCATGTGTGGCCCGTATGGGAGTGTCTGCCTCTTTCAAGTTGCAAAGTCACCTTGTCTTCCATCTTGTCTCCTTGAGGGCCTGGCCCTGTCTGACTGCCTATAATATTTCTGTCTAACTCGGCTGCCTGCAACAGTAGAGTGTGTGGTTTTGGCTTGATCATGGGCGTGGGTTCAATCCCTAGCACCCTACCCACTCAATTCATGATTTTAAGATGCACTATTCTGATTTTTAAATGTTTGTACAAGCTGGGTATGGTAGCACATACCTGTAACCCCAGCCATTTTGGAGGTTGAGTTAGAAGGGTCATAAACTGAAGACAGGCCTGGGCAATTTAAATACTTAGCAAGGCTTTGTCTCAAAATAAAAAATAAGGGGCCGGGGAGATGGCTCAATGGAATAAGCGCTTCCCTGGCAAGCGCAAGGGCCTGAGTTCAATCCCCCAGTTCCACAAAAATAAATAAATAAATAGATAGATAGATAAATAAATAAATAAATAAATAAAGGGGCTGGAAGACACAGCTCAATAGGAAGGTTCAAACCCCAGCACTGCAGAAAGGAAAAAAAAAAAAAAAGTGCCTATAAATTCTACAGAAACTAGGCTGGTAGTGTAGCTCAGTAGCAGAGAACTTGCACTACTCACACAAGGCCCAATCTAATCCTCAGCACTACAAAGAAAGAAAAATAGAAGGGAGAGGGGAGGGGCGGGGGGAGAAAAGTGGTAAAAGGGGGCAAGGGGAGGAGAGGGGGGAGAGAGGGGAGAGAAAAAGCAGACAGACCCTAAGTCCCTCCAGCTGGCTGCAGCTCAGCCCCAGGGACTATCCACTCACACCGGCTGCAGTGTTGCTCTGTGACTCCTGAGCCTGGATCAGGAATAAGATAGATCTCGTCTCCTCTGTATCTCCCCGACTGACTGGTCTGAGAGCACTGGTCAGTTCTTGCCATGAGGACACTGAAGCATCCCTTGGAAGGACCACAGGACAGTTACTACTGTGTCCTACCCACACTGACGCACTGACAGCAGGGAGACCCCAACCAACCCTGCAGCCTAGCTGACCATGACTGCAAGAGCAAGCTCAAACCACCAGCCTCCCAAGGCACAGCCGAGTGTGTGGCCACAGGGAAAACAGAAAGGGGGACACTTTCTGATGCTTTATGACACTACATCACTGAAAAATTTGTTTGATAGCAATAGATAACTGATACATGTACCAACCTCCTTCTGAAGGGAAATGGGGTAAAAATGGAAACTTAATTTTTACATTTATTTTTTATACTTTAACATTATATATTTCAGAATTTGTTGGACTTTTTAAAAGGCTTTTTATATTTATTATTTATTTATTTATCTATTTATTTATTTTTGCAGTACCAGGGATTGAACTCAGGACCCTGTGCTTGCCAGGCAAGTGTTTATTCTATTGAGCTATCTCCCAGGCCCTGGTTTTTTATAGTTAAAGAAAAGGAAAGAGGCTGGGTAGATATAGCTCAGCAGTAGAGCACTTGTCTACTTTGCAATAGGCTCTGGGTTCCATTTCCACACCTCAAAATAAATAAATAAATAAATAAATAAATAAATAAATAAATAAATAAAGTTTAACTCAAGTAGGCTTAAATTGTTTTCTTTTTTAAATTTTTTTAAAAAATTTATTATTATTGTGTGTGTGTGTGGCCAGCTCAGCCCACCAGGGAGTGGGGCTGGCTGGCATGTGGTGCTGGGGGATTGAACTGCGGTTCCTGTGCTTTGCCAAACTTGTTCCAAGTAGGTGCTTTAGACCACTGAGCCATCTCACCAGCCCTTAAATTGTTTTCTGATTTTAAAAGTTACACTAGCAAGCAAGGACCAAGTTGGGGAATCAACACCACCCAACTTCAAGGCTTAACTATAAGGCAGTGATAATCAAGGCAGAGTGGTACAGAGAAAAAACAGGCACATGAATCCATGGAGCAGAACAGCAAGCCCAGGAACAGGTCACATGAAATACAGCCAGCTCGTTGGTCTTTGACAAAGGAGCTCAGCTGCTCAGGGAGATGGGAAGGTCTTTTCAAAACTTGGTGATAGAACAACTGGACAGCCACTCACATACACGTTCAACCCACACCCTTCACCAGATTACTTAAAATGGATCATAGCTTCAAGTAAAACACAAAAGTTCTAGAAGATACCGTACAAGAAAATCTAGGTGGCACTCAAAGCAGGATCCATGAAAGAAAAATTAAGATGTTAGACTCCAGTATTTTAAAATTCTGTTCGACAAAAGGCACTGCTAAGGGAATGAAAAGACAAATGACAAATCAGGATAAATTTTTTACTAATAACATATTTGACAAATGATTTATATCCAAAATATAAAGAGAACCCTTAAAATTCAATGGTAAGAAAACAAACAACCTAATTGTTAACAAGGCAACAGATACTTCACTCAAGATGATATCCCAAAGATGGCAAATAAGCACAGAAAAACACGCTCAATGTCATGCATTACTAAGGAACTGCAAATTAAAACAGCAGCAGCACCACTGCATACCTAGCAGAGTGGCCCCAAAGCAGAACCCTGAGAGCAAAGGCTGATGACGGAGCAGAGCCACAGTAGTCTAATTTACTGTTGGTGAAGGGCAGGTCCAGCCTCTTTGGAAGTTTGGCAGGTTGTGTTGTTTTAAATCATTTTTTATACTACTTTTTTTTTTTTTTCCAGTACTTAGAATTGAACCCAGGACCCACTGGGCTACATCCCAAGGTCTTTTATTTTTTAAATTTTGAAGCAGAATCCTACTAAATTGCCCAGGCTGACCTAGAACTTGTAATCCTCCTACATCATCCTGCTGAGTAGCTAGGATTACAGGTATGCACCACTACACCCTGCAGCAGTTTCTTTAAAGGTCGTAACATATGATCTAGCAATCATGTTCCTCAGTATTTATCCAAATGAGTTGAAAACATATCTTCACAAAAAACTGAACAAGGGTTTTTATTTTATTTTTGTATTTTAGGGAAGGGTCTACAGGATGCTCAGGGTCTCACTGCTAGACCAGACTCATAGTGATCTGCCTGTTTACAGCCTCCCAAGATCTGGGATTACAAGCATGCACCACCATACCCAGTCTCAATTGCTGGGGGCGGGGCCAGCACAGCAGGCCCAGGGATGAAACCCCCAGCCCCTGTGACTGCTTGCAGGTGCTTTAATCCACTGAGCTATTTGGCCAGCCAGAACAAGGATATTTAACACAGGTTTATTCATAATTGCTCCATACCTGAAGTAACCAAGATATCCATCAATAATCATATGGAAAAAAATTTGTAGGATATTGGTCAATAGACTATTCAATGATTAAAAGCAGAAATGAGCTGTGAAGCCACTGAAAGCCATGGAGGACCTCTACGTGTATGTCACTAAGCAAAAGGAGTCAATCTGCAAAGGTTACACATGGCACGATCCAACTCTGTGGCATCTGGAAAAGGCTAACATGGATCCAATCCACGGTCAGCCCATAATGCAGGTGATCCTGTGACAGGAACTCAGCCTGCAGATCTGCACCCATAAACACCTATGACACCACGCAGACCCATGGGCCACAAACTGTATGTGAGCTCCAGAGGCTTTACCTGGGTCCAGGTGGGTGAAGGAGCCCACCACAAAGTCCAGCGTGGACACGGCCAGGAGGAGCAGCAGCAGCAGCTGGAGGCGAATTATCCATTTGACGCCTGCCAGGTTAATGCCCAGCAGGGACAGAAGCACCGCAATGGAGATTCCTCGCACAGCCCAGATGTTCCTGAGGCCCAGCAAATCGGAGATGGATTCCGCAAAGCCAGTGATGTACATGGCACCTGCAACACACTGCCCGACAGCTCCAGGTTGGAAGAGGAAGCGAGACAGAGAGGCATGGGGAGCCCATGGAGCCAAGGGCCCTACACTGAGCCCCACTCCCCCCAGTGGAAGCAAATGAAGCAGTGCTGGGCCCTGAGGTGGGGCTGAACCAGCCCTTCCCACCCACAACCCACCTCAACCTCTACTTCTGTCTGTCCACATCCCTGACTAAGGGCAGAGTGAGCTCTGTCCATACGCCTATGCGGAAGCCGATGGAAGAGGCTGGGATGTTGGGATAAAGGTTTCTCTGTGCTATTCAGGAACTAAATCTAGAACAAATGATAGTCAGGGGTCCCATCTTCAGAGCCACAGAAGGGCCCTGCAGCCAGCCAGTTGGGTCTCTGCTCCTTTGTAGGTTGGCATTATTCTTTAAAAATTATCCTTTGAAATAGAATGACAGAGAGCAACACATCTTTACAATGTCACACGTGACCAAGGCTACCTAGGACTGTCTAGGTGAACGTACATGGCTCTAGTCACCACTTGTACTGATGAATGTGTGAAACACTCTGACTTAGTAAGCTACATGCTAATTGGATGTTTTTTTCCCAGCAGAGATGCAAATAATATCCATCCAGTGGAACAGAGTCCACAAAGTTAGCATTTATTGGCCAGGAAGACATTAGCTAGTTTTATATCTAACCCAGCAAGTTTACATTTATCTATTTATTCACTGAAGTGGCTGACTGGACCGGTAGATTTGATTTCTATCCATCTTGTGTCTGTACTGAGCTTCTCACTACCCTGTAACAGCTTGCTAGCTCCTTTATGACTTGAACAGGATCTTTGGCACATAATCCTTTTATATTTGTCTGAGAGTTAGGGTTTTATTTTAGCTTTTGGAAATACCTGAAAGGTCAATTTTGAATAGTTGAAAATAACATTAACCTCACATGACATAGCCCCATCCCAGTTTTCTTTCCTCCTTGGTTTGACCCACTGGTCACTGTCACCACCATGGTCACCCTCCTCTTGCTCCTCTCCCAGGGAACAAATTCAGTTAGGGCCTCCTTCAAATTCCTTTTTTCCCCAAAAGCCTTTCTTTCTTTATCTCTAATTTCTGAATAAATAATATGTTCCCTGGTGGTGCAATATGATCAATTATCTGGGTCCATATTCTATTATCTCATGTGCCTAAGTTTGCTTCCCAAACTACCTCCAAGACTGCATTTGAGACTCTAAGGGCTGGCCAGGAAGCTCAGCAGACTAAAGTGCTTGCTTAGGCAGGCGCAGGGTTAGGGTTCGATCCCCCACATGCTGTGCTGGCCCCGCCCCTGAGGAGTGCTGAGACAGTGATTGAGACTGGGTATGGTAGTGCATGCCTGTAATCCCAGCACTTGGGGGCTGAAAACAGGAGGATCACTATGAGACTGATCTGTGTAGCGAGACCCTGTAGACACTGTTCTAAATACATTAAAAAAAAAAAAAAAAAAAGAAGAAGAAGAAGAAAACTCTTTTGGGAACAAGGATCTTTATGGGGATGGTGCCTCTGCTAATTCCTGCATTTGCCGAGGATGCAGCAAGCATTCAGTGAATTCTGTGGATCATGCAGGCAGTGAAAACAGTACTTTGGGATCTGTGCACCTGGCCCCATCCTTCTGAGTGAAGGCCACAAGGGAGACACTGCTTCTGTATCAGAGACAAGCCCGTTCTTCACTGAGATCTGCTCACTTTGTAACTAAACATGAATCACTGTGTTTTCCCCCAAAATAGAACTAACCAAAAACAAATGGCCTTGAAAATAGTAATCAAAAATCCCAGCCTCCATCACCTGGCCTTACCCGTTCCTACACAGCCACCACCCAGCAAGGGACCAGTAAGGCACTGTGGGCATGACTCTGGCTATCACCACCTACAGACCAGCCTGGCCTTATTTGGCAGGTAGATGCTATTTTTGGGGAAACACATTATTTTTGCCAATGCTCTTCAAACTTATAGACTTAACTTAGAGTTATTCCAGCCTTCCTAGTGTCCTCTAATAATACGGATTTCTGTCCACATTGGGAATGTGGGGGAAATACAGGAGAGACAGAGAGACAGACAGAGAAACAGAGAAAAGAGACAGAGACAGAGAGAAGCAGAGACAGAGACAGAAATAGAGAGACAGAGAGAGGTAGAGAAAGAAAAGCTAACTTACGTTTTCCTGCCTTCATGTCCAAACTCATTTCCACTAAACAACAGAGTGTGTTGTGATACTGATGTTCTTTCCTCAGTATTTGGTCAGCTCCACTGGAATCTTCATAGTTGTATTTACTCAAGTTTTTTAAAATGACCAGATGGCTGGGTGTGGTAGTACATGCCTGTACTCCCAGCACTCCAGAGGCTGAGGCAGGATGATCACCAGCCAGCCTATACTAGCTAGTGAGACCCTATCTCAAAATAAACAGACAATACAAATGACCAATGCAATAATAGTGGTCATTTATATGAGCATCACCCCCCTCCAGGTACCCCACATTCAAGCACGCAGAGGATGATATGAGGGCTTGGCTGAGACCATCCACCCACACCCAGAGCTGCCACTGCTGTGTGTCAAGTTGTAGAACAGAAGCTGCTTATTTGGAGTGGACCAAGCGGTAAGCATCACTTTTTGCTTCCAGCCTCCTTCCAAGTTTGGGCCCAAAATGCCAGCAATAGGGAAACCATTCTTCAAAATGCCTGGAAGACTGGTGATTAGGAACATGGTCTGGAAAACCAGAGTCAGGCTAAACCTTGTGTGACACCGAAGAGTGTTTTGACCTCTCTCTGCTGCACTTTCTCCTCTGCAATGGTAAAAACGAAAGAAGGAGGAAAGAAGGAGATTTAGGGAAGGTGCTAGAACAGTACCTGGCCTCTAGTTAGAGTTATAGAAATAGCAACCATGGGCACTGTCAGCATCACTTTGTTATTATTAGTTACTGAAGAAAAAAACAGCTAGCTCTGGCTGTCATAAACTTCATTAATACTAAACAGGTGTGGGAAGGTCACAGGGACATTGCAATAGGAGCTGCAAATAAAAATCCTTGAAGTCAGAGGTTTACTTCCAGGGAAGTAACCGTCCCAAACTAAATCCCCTTCTCAAAATCAGAGCCCTTGCAGTAAGAGATAAGGATGTCTATGGAATAGAAACATAGAAGAGATTTCATATTTGCTGGGGAGGAAGGGGGAGGCAAGAAAGTAATGCGTTTTGGTGAGGAGAAAAAGCAAAATAGACAAATGGAAATTAAAGATATAAGTTTGTGGCCTCTCAGGGTAGTCTTGTTACTGGCAGAACTAAAAACACAGGGGCCAAGGAGATGGCTCAGTAGAATAAGCACTTCCCTGTCAAGTGCAAGAGTCAGAGTTCAATCCCC